TTCTTCTCATAAACTGACATTGAAGTAGCACGACAAAAATGGATTGCCCATGTGCAACGCTATCTTTCATATTTGTGGCCGGATTTTTACGATTTTAACTGAAGTTGCATCTTACAAATGGGAAATGAATGCAAGTGGAAATGCGCTTTATGTAAATCGTTTACGATTACTTTTTAACTTGTGACTTCTTGACAGCCGACAACAGAACGAATTAATTGTCTTTAAACTTTTTACCGGTTGTCGTTTTATTAGTTGATTAATTAACTATTTGTTTTAATCTAATTTAAAGTGGGTATTCAATTTAAAAGAACTAAGTTAGGACGCGCCACCTAGCGGTGGTGCATTTAATTTAAAAACTTTTTCTCACAAAATGTATGGCCTAGCTTACATTTATAACAAAGTTTTTAGAATTATCTAGTGAAACTTCTCGATTCGGTTCTTTAATAATAATAAACGATTTGTCATTGTCATTTCATCCAAGATTCTTGGTCGATGAACTTTTTTAGTGCACCCCGATTATCTGACATGAGAAACTTTGGCGCAAATTCCTTGACATGTTTTCGTCTGACTTTTATCACGTACGACAACTGGAGATATGTTCATACTTTCTAATGCACTTTGTGACCTATTCATTATGTATTCATTAAATTTCTGTCAAACTATAAATAATTTACTTTATATTCCCACTATGTTGGTCGAAGAAGTAAAATACTACACACTAAAAATAATTTTATAGTGAAATTTGAAAAAGCTTCAAGTTCAAAATGGTAATAACAAAAGCCTTTCGAGAGCAGATAACAACAGAAAATAATGACCCATAAGATCAATTTAGAAGGCAAGCTCTAGTCTTTTCGTGTGACACATTGCAAGCTTATCTTATCATTTAACGACTAAGTCTATTCCGTAAATTTGTTTCGGTCGTTAGACAGGGTGGGTCTTTGCCAAAAGCTTTATTATAAAGTAATGAAATGAATAAAACCAAACGCTATCTAATTAACCACTTTTGCTTTATTTTTCAATTAAAGTAGATTTAGATAATGTCATAATGCTATTCTCCTTCACTTACTTTAAACTCTCGACTGAAAAAAATCTGATAAGTGAAAGAAAATAATATCGCAGAGAGAAAATGCGACTAAGCTAATGAAATCTTCTTCTAACTTAATCTACACGTTATTCAAGATAAATTAAATGTATTGCACGAGTAACAAAGACCGCCGAGGGATTGGTCACAAGGACACTTCACTATCTAAAAATTGTCAACTGTTTCCTCAAAATACCCTTATATTTCCCGAGAATTTCATAATCCTCCACCCAAATTACCACAAACATATGACCTAAATTTGCCATGCATTCCAATTCATTTTCCCAAACCTTCTTAGATTACCCTAAGCTTCAACAAGAAATCCCTTAAACATTTCCTTTTATTTTAAAAATGAAAAGGGTTAATTTTAACCACACTGCGATGAAGAAAAAAATAACATTATTGGTAGGTAATGAGTTAATGACATTTAGCCTATAACAACTCGTATTGCATTGGAGAAGTTATAGAGCTAAAGAGAACATCATCATAAATTGGAACACATCGTGAATTCAACAAACGGTTATCGAAAATGGCACTACTGTCTTCCCAATAACATCAATAAAAGAATACAACTACTAAAAGCTATAGTTCATTTCGTTTTTTGGAAAACAATTTTTAATTGACTGGTGTTTTACCAACGACGGGTTCGCGACTACCAGTCAAGAATAGAAATCGCAGACAAAGTTTTATGAGCTAGTACAGCAACATTTTGAAATTACAATGCATGTGATAACAAAATAAAATTTGATGCAATAATTGGGAAGGGTACTTTTCTTTTTACGAGGTTCTAAAAAATGCTTGAAATACGTTTTTCAACGTTGAAATACATATAATCCATAAAAAGGAGTATAAATTTAAAGCACATTTTCTCATTTTACATGAGACATAAGAAACCACGTTATTTATCTTCCCTTTTAATAAACGAACGAAAAATATTAAATCGCTGTTACACAGATCAAATAAGAATCGAGAAACAAGTGCCATCCGTTAGAAATGTCTTAAAAGTCGCTGGATGTGAGTATCTAAGTTACGCCTCTGATATGTCAATATGTTATGCATTAAGGGAGGTTTGAAAATTTACAAAACAAATAAAATTGAGGATAGGCAAATAAGAATTGCATATACATTAGAAAATAATAAAGATTTAAGTTTTTTATACAATAGAAAAAAGAGAAAACGATGGAAATTATGGATAGGTTCCTATAATTCCGCGAGGGGCGAAACGTGCACTCCAAATCAAAGAAGCAGATTTTTCTATACGGAAATTCGGTAACAAAACGCTTTATCGTGGATTTTCAAAAACCTAGTGTGGCTGAAAGTTGATACACTACACGCGCCTGCAGTATCAATTAAAGATATTCATATCCGGCAGATGGCCTTTTACGATGAAGTTATAATTTTTGTCAGATGTCTAGATTTATGTATTATTGCTTAATTTATTTACTTGGAATTAATTTATAACAGTTAAAACTCACAATTTATAGAGCGCGAAGTATTTATTACTTCGGCGTTGAAATTGGAACTGTCCTGAAATGCAATTCGATTTGCTTATATAGCAAACTCGAGTGTTCTCGAGTGCTCCCGGATGTTCTCGAACATTCTAGATTGTAGATCATATTTTCTGGAAAGATTGCGTCACATCCGCCTCGGTTCTTTATCGGCGATTACTAATCTTTCGTGGCGCCTCGATGTCTATCGAGATTTCTGGAATATTCGCTACAATACCTTTTTTCATTACTGAGATACTAGAAGGGAAGCAATATTTAGCTTATCATTCGCGCCGAACGCACGTGGTCGTGCTTTACTCTCAAGTAAGCATTAATTAAAATGATAAAAACAAAGTCGCCTTTGGAAACAAAGTTGCATTCAACTGATGAACGCTTCCAGTAGCAATCAAAACTCGAAATTGTTTAATCTTACCAAAAATAACAAAAGAACGTTAAGGATTTTTTCCATCCTTTGGGGAGCCTAAACAAATTGTACAATTATCAAATCTGCGACTCATGTCGGGTAGGCGTAGGCGGAGTAATTGGACTTACAGGCGGAGTTGGGTCGGTACTGGGTAGATTGGAACATAGGATCTTTCGAGATCCATACAACTCTTTCATCTTGGACATGCACTATGGTACATTGAGACTATTGAGAGTCCTTGTTTTGAATGAGAGTTTGGGCATGTATATTTGTGGATTGGTAAAGGAGTATTGGTCAGCCCACTTAAAAATAAAAGTATACAAAAAGAATCATATAAAATAATTTTCACAGGACAAACTGCTCTGAACCATCTGACGATCTGCCGTTTTGACTTTTGGCTTTCGAATTATATCAACCTGTTATTTTTTTCCATTGTCGATTTAAATTACATTTAAGTAACCTTCGATTTGTGCTCTTATTTAAATTCTTGCGCAATACAGGTGTTTCTTTTGTAAACCCGTAGCTGTAGTAGCTTATTATCCCAGTTCTTTGTTTCGCCGGTGGAGGTCGTGCAGATGTTCTATCCTTTTTAGTTTGGGATTGCGTATAAGCTCCTTTTCAGTGAAGATTTTACCGCCATTTTGGTTACATGCAAATTATTTTTCTTCGGTACGCCATTACTTTTCTAGTGACTTCGTGTCTACCTGAAAAGGGTTTATTGGTTGTGTTTTGTGACTCCGAATATTCATTTGTACTAGCTGAACTACGCTTCAGAACCTTTATATTAGTTCGTTTACCAACATTAGGTTTGCGTTGCATTGCAAATTAGTTTTTGAAGTAACCGAGACTTAGTCCGAGACCGTTATCTATAATTTTTTGTTATGTTACTTGTTTTTCTCCGAAGAATTTTTTTGAATTTTGAGTATGGGTAAGTATATATATTTCATTTTTAATTAATTGCATTGACTATTTTTAATTTATTGGCGCCTGAGTTTATATCGAATTCCAGTATAATTTTTTGCTTATATTTCTGTTCCAGTCTCATAATTTCTTGTATTTTAATTAATCAATCACAACGATAAAAATTCAGGCTAAAAAGAACAAAACACAAAAGTAATCACTTATATATGTATTAATTAATTTGTATTATTTATTGCATCATATACTAACCGAAATAGTTATGTTATGACTAATTCACACACAATTTCATGATTAACAGTAAAAGCGATTTCAGAATCTGAATTAATGGCGGTTTATTTAAATCCCGATAGAAACAACTGTGATTCACATTCCACTACGAGAAATTTGTAGAGGAATTATCAAAAAATAAGCTGAATTGACCAATTTGCCTGCAATACCCGCGAAAATTATTTTTAAACTTCATTCAGGCGATCGATTTGGAGTAGAACTCACCGTTTTTAGTATTATTACAACAAACTAGAACAAACAAAGGCAAACTGTACTTTAATGACACCGTCACCCCTAAAACTCACCGGGGAAGGTTTAATAATAGACTGCAAGCGTTTCTAAATTTAATTTTACTAACGATTGTCGGCCAATTTGCGCTCTGGCTTAATAATCGATTGTTTTAGTAAATCATGCACTTACCTCGTCGCAAGAAGCGCATCGTGGTTTTAGCTTTTCGGCGTAATGTCTTTCACAGTACACGTTGTCTTCAAAGACGCAATACGCTAAATCGACCAGGAGATCATCGCATGTGGAACATTTGAAGCACGGGGGGTGCCAGAGGTTTTTGCCCAGACGAGGGGCTGATACGCAAGTTTGTTGGGGCAATATCGACTTCGAACAGCCCATGCAGCTCATATCGGGAAGAGCTGTACGTACGCAGCCCACGTCTAAGGCTATTTCATTTCTAGCGTTGATAAAGTCCTAAAATGGAAGATCTGTTAGATGAATTGTGAACGTCAGAACTATGAACTTACTTGGTAGCTGCTTCTATTTTCAGGCTCTATGTGCTTACACGCGTTTATCGATAAATCTTGCCTAGGCAGTTGTTTAAGTATGCGTTGCGTACGAATAACTTCTCCCTTGGTCCCCAAACGTGGAACATCGGAATTGGGGAGCATTGAATAGAATTGGTCGACCTGAAAATGAGAAAAAATAACTGAAATGCGGATTCAAAAATTCTACTCTACAGATAATATAAAGATAAGAAATTTGCTGCTCAATTTCCAAGATTCTCATACTTCCTAGCTTTGTGATTAATATTTTTTATCTGGCCGACTGCCGTAATGTGATCTACCGGATAGCGAACCAGAAACAATTCCTATTGCTGTGGGGCATACTTTGTGCAGGGAGAGAGTGAAGAAATCAGTGATCACTTGACAAGAAAAGGGTCAGAGATTTCTTGCTCTGACGATTTCATTGATTGGTTCGTGATCTGATGAACCGGGTGAAGCTGCCCTTTTGTCTACCTGGTCGTACGTGCCAACCCCACAGAAACCCCATGCAATGATTCAGATTGTTGCGGTGTTCGTATCGTTATATTGTGTATTGTTTTTATGTGAAAAGAGGTACTTTGTTAATAGAATCTGTTAGTTGACCCTCTAAACTCATTTGTTCATTTTACTTCTACATCTTACTTGGATCCTCACGCCGACCTGAAGCACATACATTTATGATTATCTTGTAGTGACTTTTTTTTAACACAACGGTTAGGTAGATTTGCCTAGACTCGAGTTCAGTCAGTTTAGGTGGGAAAGTTTTGATTTGAAATTTTGGGTTGTCCAGTTTTTAGGGGTTGGCCTGGGTACGTTACAAATTGATACTGGTGACTAGAATATGTTTTGAGTCTTTATTCGTAGTCTACTGTCGTGACCAGTAGACCACTCCGTCCAATTTTAGAAGGTTCGAAATCTTTAATGGTAATAAATTAAGTGGTTGAGTTCCGGCCCAACTATTTTCTAGTTCTGGAAAAACACGTACTTACATTTTTTTTTAAATGATACTTACGAGGCGAGCAGAAGTTAAACCAGAAGGTATAAACGCATAGCCCAGGCTTCTAGGCTCGGTTATCTCTTGTGCAGTAGGAAGCAATCCCACTCTGGGTCTTCCGCCATGCTCCACGATGACGTCATGAATATCCCTTGAACATTTGCAGCTGATGCAGTTTTTCCTGAAAATAAAGAAAACTGTTACATTGGCACATTCATTCAAATAGTCCACATCTCTCATTTACCACTCTCACTCCCTTTGGTTGCCACCATTTTGGTACGGAATCGTCCGTAAATTAATCTCATCGAGTGTGAGAAACCGAAGTTCTGTAGTTTGATTTCAAAATAACTGATGTGAACATTCTAGAGATCGAGATCTACCACTACAATTCTTTTATTAGTAAATTAATTTGCGAGTGTTATTATTGACCATACTGTGTATCTACATACATATACAATTTGTTTCGATTCAGACTCGAGTAGAAAATTAATAACGATAACTATAAATCTTCGGCAATAAAGACGTCTAGAACTATTGAAGATTGTCACATAAAACAAAGCATAACGGCAATTTGGAGGAAAGAGACGGAATAAATTCAATACCCCTAGGTACCATTTCAATTCCTCTACGTAAAATGTTTCTAAAGTGGCGATTATAAGCCATTGACGGAATAAAATTCGTCCACTCAGAGGGCGCAAATTTGTAATTTGATCGCCATCCTAACTAGCATGGGATTTTTAGTAGAATCGTGGGATTTACAGTCCGAATGATCAAAAATAACGATGGTACTTATGTCTTGTTAGCGTCAGTGGACTATTTCGTCTTGAAATGTTGTACTTGAGTTTCGATTACATTCTCGTCATAATTTCGAGCCGAAAATATCTGCATTGTAATCTTTGTATGCAGCATGAAATATTCTTTTATTTTAAAATTTATGTTAAATTGACATTTTAATAGGTTGGAATGAGTAGGCTAAGCCGTTCTTTAATCGTAAAGATAGATAAACCGTAAGGGTAGAAAAAGTGAAACAGACGAGTGTACATTCTAATGACATCATTCAGAATCAGAATTGTCAGAAACTTGACAATAAATATATGGCTTCTGCTATAAAATAAAGTTTTGTATTATTAACGACGATAAAAGGAAACTAACCAGCTCGTGAAAGTAATTCCCTCGTGGCGCGTGAATTAATATCTTTCACTCAATGGTTAAAATATCCCTTTATCGTCTTGTAAAATAAATAACTATTAGTAAGCGTACACTGCGTTTTGTTGTTTAGCCTGAACAATTTGTATTATTGTTATTAACAAAAAAGTAGCATTTTTTTTTCAATTGAAAAAAAAGTAAGGGTTGTGTTGGATGGTGCCCGTTTTATGCATCGTTCTCAAGAGGTTAACTCACTGCCTTAAAATGTGTACCTGATGCACTGAACGTCAATTTATAGCATTATTTGTGACTATACTGCAAGTAATGGTTAATAAGATAGAGGGATACAATTTGTTGATCGAATCAATTTCGCGTTCGGAACTTGGCGTTGTAACAGGTACACGTTAAAAATTTTTGTATGCTCAGATGCAAAAACCATCTATTGAAAAGTGATAAATTTCACCTCATTTATATTTGACGTCTACGTCACCATTTATGTGGGGTGGCTACCCTCTTAATAAATGTAAATAGCACGTTTTGAACGATTCATGATAGTGATGGAAATCAAATCGTTAATTTTATGGAAAGTGATTTATTAGAAATCGGGAGTTTTAGTTGAGACAGCTTGTATAAACTGATCATTGATTGTTTTATACTGTACAAGCCATGCATTTTGAATCTAGGCAATAGTATTGTAACGTAAATTTAATTACGTGTTTTATTTATTTACAACTAATTAACAATAAATTGACAAAAGTTTTGAAATGAATTAATTTATAACAGTTAAAATATTATTTACCGCTCACATATACACAATTTGCAACAGCTCGAACTATGTATTACTTAGGCGTTGAAATTGAAACTAACTATATACACGCGATTCAGTTCGCTTACATAGCAAACGCCGATCTTTCACGAACGCTTCTGAACGCTCTCGAATGTTCTCGAACAAACACGTCATATTTCCCGGAAAGAATGCGTCACATCCGCTTTCGTTTTTTTATCGCCGATGACTAATCTTCAAGTGATTTTTTAAATAAAAAATACTTATTTACATCGCGAATTAAATGTGCCAACCCTGCCGATACTGTCAATTAATGTAAATATTCCTAGCGTCACTGCATAATGTCGGAAAAATATATTGTGTTGTGTTACGACTGTGGTACTTATGCCGTGACGTTCCGTGTTAAGGACACGGTGCTTTGTACCAAAATCTACATATACTGCTGTGTGCAATGGCGAGCGGTCACTACGCCACCCACAAAACACCGGTTCGACATCTGCTACAAAGGAAAATCTTAATACCAACATAAAACTTCTCAATTTGAGACTTGATGGTGTCGATCAACTTCTAAAAATTCTAAAGAATTTATTACACAAATTCTCATCAACACCTGAAATAAATTTCGGGCGCCAATAAAAAAATTTGACATGAAAACTCTATCCGGGTGGCACAACGGATTCGAATAAACACACAATTTATTTTATTCCCGCAAAACCCCGCAAGAAAAGAAAGATAATCTTTTTACATTCATTAAGCAGACAACTGCTTTGTTTACCCACTCAGCTGACTTTTTCTGAATACGGCCAAACCGTTTCTAAAAGTTAGACCAGGTTACTCGAGATTTACTTAAAAAAATTATATACTTTTCAACCGTCGCGGAACTCGCAGCAGCAGTCTCGTTTTCACGTCGATTCCCCTATTTAAGGGAACACCACTTCCACTATAAAATAATCTCCTCCCGGATTTTCAAAACACAGATAATCACAATTAGGCTTGATAATGCCAGTTTTGACGAAACGCACCAAACGTCCCCACTTACGCCGAAATACAGCGCGCATCGTAAAACACCTTCGGTATATCTTAACAGCGGTATAAAATGTGTGTTAATTATAATTAAAATTCGACTACTTATCGCAAAACAACCAGACAAAATAAAGTACGCAAACATGACCCGATCTCTTACTTCAAAAAAGCGATAAAATTAAAACGAAAAATTCCACTTTCTTAAAGGATCAACAAATACGAAACGACAAATTCAAATAAAAATAAACAAACTCTGTCCCCCAGATTTACACTTAATAAGTTGAAATATTGTCATATACAGGGTATCTGGTATTCCGTCATTATTTTTGGTGTTTAGAGCGAAATAACGTCCACATGACGTTGTTTACAACAAAGAACAACACAACCATTAAAATTTTGGACCGGTAGTTTGAACAAAGTCAAGTTAATAAAGAAAGTAAAGTTCAGAAGAAGTAAATGAGCTGAAGAGTGCAGGCTGAAGTTAATCTTGTGTAGAGCAAGAAAACGGTTGGAAACTGTATGTCAAGGAAAGGATCAAGAGGTAGGAAAGACAGTATCGTCACTTCAAGCTACGAAAACAACAAACATCCAGACATCAAACATACAAAATGCAAGATACATGCATGCATAACAACTTTTATGGCGACTAAACAACGCGTCTTTCTTGTAAAGTGTTTCAATGTCGAAAATCAACCTTCTTTCCAGGATGGGCGGACGTTGAGCAATTCACTTCTAGTCAAAGTTGTCAAAAATTGAGTCAAAGAGACTCGGTGGCCTCGGTCAACTTCCGAAAATTTCAAAGAATTTACTACGTAAATTTTGATCAACACCTGAACTAAATCTTGGATATGAAACGAAAAATCTGACATGAACATTCTATCAGAGTCGCACAATGGGTTCAAATAAACACACCAATACATGATTGACAATGACAACATTTTATTCCAAGACACATCAAAAGAAAAAATTAAAACAAGATTCTTGGAAAAAAGTTCACTTTGTCTTTTAAATAAGCTGGACTCAATAACTCGAACTAGCTTGATAAACAAGCTGAAAATGATTCTCGGTGGCTACTCTGGCGGTCGAAACTTTTAACTTTCACTAAGCAGATAACTGCTTTGTTGAACCCTATTCGTTCCAACTTTTTCTGAATACGGACAAATCGTTAAAAACAATTTTCCACAAACTTTTACCCTCGCTTTTACCCCTTCACTGGACGATAACTTAATATTTTATTAAAACTGCTTACCTTCTTTTACACACTTTATTTCGAAACTGACGAACTGCGTCTTTAACAAAATTAAAAGGGTCAACCGCCCACGATTTGGGGTAATAGTATTTTACATTATTAGCCAGGTAAGTGAGTTTCCTAGAGCCAGTAAAAACTATTACCTGGCGTATAATGTACAATATTTTATTTGTTACTCATTTGTAAACAATAGTAAACGTAAATAATTAGTTCTTAAATTGATCTTGAAGAAATGTCTAAAATATCATGTGATCCATGTAACAGAGACTTCGCATTAATTCTGGCCAATGAAATTACTAGATTACTAACTTGTAACATTTTTACAGGTCTGCTGTCAGTTTTACAGGTCTGCTGTCAGTTTTACAAGTCAGTAGCGTTTAAACATGACGTTTACCCGTTTGCGTTTTGTCTTGTTAATCAACGTTTACAACTGAGTAACAAATAAATAAATTTACACGCTCTTTTTACCGTCTCGAACTAACAACAGCCTCCTTTTTACCTTGTTTCGCGTATTTAATTAACACCCACTTCCATCATTGAATAATAAAAAATGCGCAAATTGCAATTACATTAGAAGGAACGTATCCCCACTTACGCCGAAGATAATGCGGACCACGTTGGACTCCTGCGTAACTCGTTATATCTTCTAACAGCGATAGAAACACGTCCGATAATTAAATCTCGTCCAATAAGAAAAACTCTTATCGCTAACGACCAGATGTGTCCATGATAGCGGCGCTTTCAACATGAGTTGGAAAATGGTTTTATACAAGGATCTCGGTCTAAACTTTGTCTAACATTATCAAACTTATCACTACCCAACGCACCCTTGTCATGAAAATTGAGTATCAAAAACTTTTGCAATTATCGTATGTTGGACATTCCCAACCAATCTGCTAGTTTTAGCACCTATTTGGCGATAAAAAAGACCACTTCTTTAAGCCTAAGTAAAACGGCGTTGCTCGTTTTCGCAACGAAATTCATGAATAAATGATGATTGTAAAAAATCTTTTGGGGTAAGATATAACCTGGGTTCGGATATATCGGAATGGGTTTGCGGGTTTCAAATGAATAAAAATAAATCGATGCAGTATTCAGAAAATAACTATCGTGGATATTTTTGGCGCCGTGCACCACGCAACCAACATAGCGTCTTGATTTAACAAATGCATACTTTCCGATAACCTAATATCTAAAACAAGCAGGAAATGTGGTTAGTACATCAAATATTTAACTATACTTGAAACAATTATCGTAATTATGAAATAAAACAAGGCACGTCCTTAAAAACATCCTGACTAATTAATCTAGGTTGGTACTGTAAGTGCGACAATCACGATAACGCGGTTTTAACAAAATTAAAGTAGGAGATAACTTGATATTAGTTGCGCCATTACAGTGATTTATCAATTACTAGTACTACCGCATAAATAATTGCAAATTAAAGTTTATGAGTAAATATCTCATGGAGAAGCTTACAAATGTGCTTGTCGTAACTCGTAGTGACAAAAAATGAGATACATGTTAAAAATGGGAGTTTTATGATGTTATTGGCCATTATTACTAAAAAGACTATTTTTGTTATATTTTAAAGCATAAGCGGTCACCGTATTTCTACCACATACAGTAAGATAATGATTATAAACGTTCCTCAGTTGGCATTTTTGGGAAGGTGTCACGAGACGCATTAACTTTGATTCCCTTTAATCGCTAATCTAATCCTACATACAATATACTGGATGAAGGAGATATTTTCTCGATTTTGAAGACATTTCAAGGAATTTATTGAGGCATGTTTGCGTGACAAGTTCATCTGTGCATATCAAAAGCATTTGAGAATGTCAAAAAACATCAAGCACACATCGCCCACAAAAGGATATACTAATGAGAGGGAAATCACAATAGTCCTTTTTGCGCGATCGGTCATTTCATTTCTGACTATTTACCATGGGTGTTTCCATGACAGTACGTAGAATTTACCAGTTGCTATGATTACGACGACGTCAAAATTACTTACCGATCTAAAAACAGAACAGCAAAAATACTTACCGACGCCTTTTTAAAAATCAACAGTATTACATTTAATCTTTAATTATTGTTAGGTACATTAAACGTACAATTAGTGCTGTTGTTTCCTATGGCAAGACGCTCATAAAGTCATAAAGGAAGTGCAAAGCTAGTAAACTACATCAGACACATGCACATTTTTATGAAATTATTAACTTCAATTTTGACAAATAAACTGGTTACCTAGTGATGTACCTACACCATACCACTTCGATCATTTCAATTATTTATTCTGCTCGTTAATTTCTTAGTGCATATTTATAATTGGTTGCATAATTTTAATTTCGATCGCGCAAAAAATGTTATAAGCACGTCGAACGTTAAGGGTTACCCTCGGGGTTACCGTTCTCAGACAATAATTGGAGTCGTCGCTTCGCTCCTCCTCCAAACAATTGTCTTCGAACGGTAAAAATCCCTTACCGTTCTCCATACTTAATATACTATAATGTCAGCTCATAGTTATTCATCATTTCCATGTCAACCGTTTACAATTATCTTTTTATGTCACTAGATCTGATCTAAAGTTATACTATAAATATTACATGTAAGTAAACGCTTGTCTTCACCTTGAAATTAAGAAATTAAAGTTGATACCACTGTGTTTTGTAAGGCCAAAGATGCGCTTACACAAAATGAATGTATCTCCATTGCTGATAGACAAATAAACGACTGGTTTCAATGCAATAAATTAAAACATAACGTCAGCCAAACTCAAAAAATTAATTTTACCGCCACCAAATCTATTTGTACCAGAAACTCGGTCAAATTGCTAGGTATTACAATAGACAATGAACTCAATTGGGAGACTCACGTGGATAGATTATGCACGACATTATCTTCCAACATTTATTTGTTATTAAAATTACGACAATCTGTCAATGTTCATGTACCTACTCATATCAAGCTACTACGCTTTCATTCACTCCAGAATTAGCTACGGGATAACTGTATGGGGCAGATTTCTCCACTCCAGAATTAGCTACGGGATAACTGTATGGGGCAGATCTCCTCATTCTGAAACAGTTTTTAGAATTCAAAAAAAGCTGTGCGGATTATTGCCAGTATTGTGTCTAAACATTTTAAAATAATGCCATTACCATGCATATATATTTGTAACACATTAGTTGATATCCACAAATTAACTATCTCTAAAGGAGAAGTATCAGATAGGAGCATCCACAATTACAACACTCGCCATTGTCAATTGTTATTGCCCCCAAAATTTAAGCTATGTGTGTCCGAGAGAAACTCACTGAATGTAAAACTCTACAACAAGTCAATTAAAACTAATGTCATTGCCTAAATTTAAAATTAATGTTAAAAACCTCTTGTTGCAAAATTGTTTTTACAGTATCGCAAAATATATGAATACTCCTTAATGCACGCGAATCTAGTCTTGTAGTTCCTAACATACTGTGATATTTTTTATTCATTGGATATTTTTAATGTGTGAAATATATACAGGGTGTCCCTAAAAGGTCTGTACAACGCGCTATCAGGGGTTCTTGGTATCAAAATAGGACGATTTAACCCAACTTACCTCTATCCAAAAGTGCTATCTACCGCCTAAGATTAAAAAAAAATCGTTATTTTTATTTTATCGGAAAATGGTTTTGCTGATTAAAATGAAATTCGGGATGTGAATGTCTAATGTAAAAAGGGTCTTTGTGATATCATTGTTTTGATTGTAGTTGCTATGTAGGTGGTAAAATATCTGAAGAGGTCTAAAACTTTTTAACTACTATTTTGACAGTTCTGAATTTTTAGACACTGATAAGACAGTTTACTTGCAAGCATTTTTTGTCTCTTGATGAATATCGCTATCTGTGATGGTTTACGAAAAAAAAATTTAGGCATGAAGAATGGCATGCACCATACATGCGATTGTTCCTCAAAAAATCAGAAGATGGCTGTGAAACCTTAGAGTGGCGTAACGTTTGTTTGTTGTTTCTTAAACTTTAATCTATACGACCCTCTCTCAATGACAATTCAAACTAAAATGGCTGTAAGTAGGGTGCGCGAGACGACATAGCCAGCTCTCAAAAATGTGTGCATCATCTTAGATTGTGTATACAGAGTGGAACCTCTCAACTCGGATGCCATAAACAGGTCATAAATCCCCTAACCCGTCAAAACTAAGAATGTCTAAGCGTCTTCCACTTCTTTTTATAACTAACGTGTTATCGTGAACCACCTCCACATTCATACAGTTTTGTGAATTTATTTTATTTCATCTGAACCCATTACCTTTTAACACACCTGTCGATAAAGCCTAACACATAAACGCTAAAGACATTTTATTTTACGCAGGGAAAACACCTGCAAATTTTATGATCTTGAAATGTCATCAATTTAAACAAAAGAAATAATTTCCCATATGTAACTGGCCTACATTCAATTAATGGGTGTAATTATTGCTTTTATTTAAATTGATGGTGCAGTGTATTGGGCTATACTAGAACGTACTTCACAGTCAACAGAATGAGTTCGAAACTAGTTACTGGGTCAGACTAGGTCGAACCCCCCCCCCCGGTCACAACCCAGGAACCACACTACCAAAACAGATTTGTTTTTCTGTAAAATCACTATATAACACGAAAAAATGTGACCCAATTAGTTTTAAAAATGTCACCTTGTGTATAGAAAACAAGGGGAACAAATAAACGGTTTTACTATCTCTTACGTACGCCTTGGAACAATCTTAACTTTCTTTCGAATCCTGAATAACTTTATTTATGCGCACGTGTTAAGAAAAATGGGTTGCGCATGCGCAGACTTAATGGACGGATTTTTCTGAAGTTTTAAAGGTGTTTCCTAGAAGCAAATGCAAATTAGGTGTCAAAAATAAATGGCGCATGCGCATAACTTGTGAACCATTTATTCTAAAATTTCAGGAGATGCTTCTTATAATAAAACACGTCAAAAAATGGATTGCGCCTGCACAAACCCCCGTTTTCTTATTTTTGGACGGATTTTTCCGAATTTTTAAGGGAAATTTACTATAAAAGCAAATTGTCAAAAAATGAATTGCGTACGCGCAGCACATAACTTTCTTATGTGTGTGATATATGACAGCGTGGCGTGAAACCACATACTTAACAATGTGTGGACCATTTTTCTGAAATTGTAACTGAAGATTCTTCTTACAAAAGAGAATTGAAAACGCATGTCAAAAATGTGTACACAGAGCCAACTTTTTTAGTTGCAAACGGATGTCCCCAAAATGTCAACAGGTGTTTTTCAAATGACTGTTTGTCATCGACTGAAAATGAACTTGACTAGGTCTTTTTTGAAAACAAAGGTTATTAATGCAATAAGCAAAAATAAAAGATAAATAATAAAAATACTTTGGCATATCTTTTGTATATTAATAATAACATCATCTTATTTTTTTTTAGTTAATGTTTCCCCTTTTGTTCTCTGGTATGCTGGGTAAAGTTGACGTCGAGGCTCATGTGGAAGGGGGCGGACCATCTGGACAGGCAGGTGCTCTCCGTTGGGGTATCGCCTGGGGATTGCGATCGTTTGTATCGGAAGAGATGATCGAAAAGATGCGATTAGGTAAGATATTTACAGGAGAATCGCAACTACAATGTAATTTTAGCCGGATTACTAACTCGTGACCGGCGTCGGCAAGAGAGAATGAAACCGGGTCAGGCGGGCGCTAGAAAGAAGTTCACTTGGAAAAAGCGTTAATGTTTTACTATTTTTTTTTAATCATCGTTATTAAAGTTACATTTTCGTGAGTGGTTTCAGTCCTAATATTTGCATGCCTTGTCCCAAGACGTCTCGCGCTGACGAAAATAGGAGCAGTCGTTGAGAGGCGAGCTCGGGCTCTTGATCTTTCACCTGTAGCGTCTTAAAGGCACGGTTAATGTAGTTGCTGAAAGTAAATCATGTAAATCTGCACAGCTCGTGCGTAACTAACCATAAGTGGAATAAGTAACTCACTAGCACACAAGCTTCCATCTGCGATTGGGCTTTGTGCAATACATCTGGAAAACGCGCCAACTCCCGCACGAGAGCGGTAACGTCGGGCTGCTCCAGGAATTCGGGTTTACAAACTTGCACAGGTACCGCTCCCGAATTCTCTTCCAAACTGCACAAACGGCAATGGGTATACTGCAACTTTGCGCCACTATCGCCCTGTACTTGCAATGCTTGATCCCAACTGAACGTATAATCTTTCTGTCTTCGTTGTTTCAAATCATTCACAATAACGCATGACACTCCAAGTACATCGGAAATTTCGCCATTTGTTATAGGTACTTTCGTATCTATAATTACAGATAAACAACAGAAGACCAGTAAGAGGCGTTGGCATAATATTGCATTTTTCAAAAATATTAACGGTTAGTTATTTGTTTTAGTTTCGTGGCAGTAGCAAAACAACATACTGCCCTCAGAGTAAAATGTCTAGTCTGCTAACTATATGGTAGTTTATATTAGCAAAACTACCCAACCAATTTGTATCAACAAAGTGTGATTTAATAGTCGACTATTTCTATGTGCATGTTCGTAATTTCACAATGTTTGTTCAATTTTGGTAAACATAACGAAATACGTAACGCGAATGCGCGCTAGTAAAGAATCAAGGCTTGTTTTGAACCAGGAAGTGACGGTCACAGCCAATGGTAGATGTATGTGTGAGTCAATGGTATTGTGGAGGTCGGCAACGTTGTGACATACGTAGCGCCCCCGTTTAATCGTGTGAGTGTATTAGATCACGTGATGACGGTAGCAAAAGATGCCGACTGCTGGAAGATGACCACCTTAGCTCTGGGGTGTACTGTTGGATTGCAACCTAAATTGTATGCGAGGATGTAATGTTCGTTGCCTTCCTATCAACGCTGCAATGGGAGTCGGTTAGTGACTTGTGGTGAGTTAATAATAATAATAATAATAATAGATGACATTCATTAGGATGGTGGCGTGCTATTGGTTGTCTACTGTCAGTGAGATTTACAATGTGTGGATTTGAATGTCTACGAGGAGAACGATTAATCACACTAAAAAAACTAAAAAGTTGGTATATTTTGTGTTGGATACCTCGAATATGGTGGCGCTATACTTCACCTGCACAGTAATGTGAAACAAAGGAAAGTGGCACTAAAACAAATATAACTAACCTAAAACTTACGCTTCGAAAAATCTAATATGGTGCCACAAATTCACGGTACCATCTTAGATCATATAAACAGATCTAAGGGTACCATAAGGGTTCACTTACTTGGCGATTCCATCTGCTTTTCCAACATTAAATCTTGAATTTCATTCAGGAGATCCCGTAAGAAAACTACTTTCCCCTTCCGTGTGCTCATACCGTGAATCCGTCCAAATTTAATATGCTTGATACGATCCGACCATGGCACATCCATAAGGTGTAATAAACCCTTAAGCGAGTTGAAGTGATCATTTTGACCATTCTCGACAACATAATACATTTGGTCGAAATTAAACTTGCTAAATCGATCTATGGCGGCCGCCAAATCTCTCGTCAGATATAAGGAACTTCCATCACTCTTAATCAAACAGATATTTCTGTCGTTCACGTTTACATTTACCTTTCCATCTGTGTCAACGTTGAGAAGTTTTTTACTTGAAAGCGCATCGAGCACGCTTTTTATGTGACTCACGTTATACATCGACTCGTAATTATACTCGTCAAATTTGACTCCTAACCTGTCGTACGTCGCTTGCAAATCCGAAATGGTATAATCAATGTATGACCGCCATACCTGTAAGTCTGCCTCCGACCCGCTTTCCAATTTCGCAAAGTAGCCCCTGGCGAGTTCGCTAATTTTCGGGTCTGACTCTGCCAGTTGATTGGCGTGTACGTACGACTCGTAAAGTAATTGCGTAGGGTTTTGTTTAATATCCTCCTCTGTAAAATTGAGCTTATTGACGCCAACTCTTATAAATCCAAACTGAGTTCCCCAATCTCCCAAATAGTTCAACCGCGTCACTTTGTGATTTAAGTAAGTGTGTAAGTTCGCGAGAAAATTTCCGATTATTGTCGATCTCAAGTGTCCGACGTGAAACGGTTTGGCTATGTTGGGTGAACTATATTCGATTACGATATTCTTCGGAGTTAAGTTGACATCTGGGGCGGCGGAATTTTCGATCACATCTTTAACAAAGATATCTCTATTAATTTCGAAGCTGATTTTTCGATTCGCCCTGTCTTTTACGCAGTGAATGTTTTTAATAATATCATCCGGTTGAATTTTGAGAATATCATTCACACTTGCGATACCCAAATACTGTTCGATCGCGTTTATGGGCAGATAAAATTCTATATGGTTGTCTGATGGCGGATTTCCTATTTGTATTAATGGTTTTAGTTGGACTGGATTTATGTTTGGGCTTTGCCGAAGACTTTCTATTACCTGAAACATACATGTTAACTATTATGCTGTATGAATGTATATATTACGATCAAAGTGATAAATTTTTTTATTTTATTTTATATTATTTTGCCTTTATTTTTGAGTGGGCGAGGTTTCAACCAAGGCTGCTCTACCAACCCAACCCATTATACATTTACAAATATCTATGCCTGTACCCGGATTCGAACCAGGGGCCCTTCGCACCACAATTCAGCTTTAATTGAACTGCGCCACACGGGCCGGAAAATGCGGTGATTATTCATAATAACGGGTTAATGTGAATAATTGAGGAAAAGAAGAATTTTTTAACTTTAATTTCATAAATGGCATTAGTTTCCCTTCCCCTAAAGTTTTAAAAGGAAAATGGGACCGCAAAATTATTTTTCTATTTCGGTGTCACAATGATGATTTTGTACAACTGTTTTAGGCCGAAAACAGTTGTACAAAGACAGTGATTATAGTCGTTTTTTTTGGTAACTCATCTCTTAAGTTGGCAGTTACTAGTTAGTACAAGCAGGTACTTCGTTGGGTACTTCCATGTTTGAACTTCAAAATTTCAGTCTTACTACGCTGCCAACCTAAAACTTAACGGCATAAAAAGTGTTCCCAACATAAAACATGTTAGTTCTAATGTTCCCTATAGTTTCTGATAATGATTTTTTTAATTAAATGAAAGCACCGAAATAGAAAAAATAGTATGAAAAACGCGTGTTACAATGCTTTATTGTAATACTCCTATCTTGCGGACACTCGTGGCTACGCTTCGCGTCGCCACTCGTGCCACAAGATAGTCGTATTACAATAGGTCGCATTGTAACACTTGTCTTTCAATATACTATTATGGGCGATTAGTTATATATATTAGTAAGAACTATATTCTTGAAATAGCGTCTAAATAATTCCTAATATCTTGGCGTACTTTTTTTCAAATCATTTGTTTTTTTTTGTATTATTTGTTTCTGCTGAGTATTTTTTTTTCTCTTTTTTGTGTTCTTACTTTTAGCGTTTATTACTAATTTAGGATTAATAACTTTTCTTTATGTATTTTCGCCTTTGTCCTGTAAATGGGTGTTCCTGTTGGGAAAATAAAGCATTATTATTATTATTACTTTCAGCGCAACATATATGACAGAAATAGTGTATTATATATTAGCAATCAAGAAGCAATAGGTAAATAAGAAGTCGCAAAGGCAAATACACCATGGATATTTCTTTGTAATGAACCAGACCCAGCGGAGCAATACTTCTGACCCATACACATAGACCTAACTGGACACATGCAATCAATTTTAATTACTCCACCTGCTAAAGCTATTTCATATTGATACACACAAAATCCTTAATCACGCCAAATGTCTAGTACAAAGGTATAGGTATAACAAGATAATATGCCCTGTTACAGCAATCACATATCTATAGCCTTCAACCAATCATCGTGGGTACCTCAGGGATCCAACCACGGACCTTTGTTGTTCCAACTTTATATAAGTACCATTACTAAGGTGATCTGTTATTCCACACACTGTATCAAACCTACAAAATTGCAGATTATTATGAATATGCAAAAATGCACTAAACTGTTTATCATTAAACGTTTCAAAATGCCATAGACTTTTTCTAGAAACGCTGCGCCAATGACACATAATTACAAACTAAATAATGAAGCAATAGTTTAGGCATCTGTTTTTAAGGATTTAAACATTCACTACAACACTAGTTTGTCTGATGACAGTTAGAGTATGGAGTGGCACTATGGAATCCAATATATCAAAAGCACAAAGTGAATGATGAATTGGTTCAAAAACGTTTTTACAAATATGATTTCTACAGTACATATCGGTATTACTCCAAAAGAGGGTTACTGTTAGACCGTGTTAATGTTGAAGCTCTTGAACCATGAGAAGAACTAAAATTTGACTTGCGTTTCTACACAATTTGTGGCGGAACAAAATTGATGCTTTGGAACTAATGAAATACATTAACTTTTAGATTCCGTGACAATGTTATCGTACAAAATAATCTTCCATTAGCTATGACAAAGCACAAATACTAAAAAGGTTACCATTTGCCATGACTGTAACATTCACTGTGAATTTTATGATATACTCACTACAACAAAATGTGAGTTTATAAATATTACCTATTGCGTAAACAACGTATGTAGAAGTCATTTCGGTCTAAACAATTAAGATAAGATGCTCTAATGTAAGACACTGTGATCGAATTGGCGTATTTTATAAAAGGTTTATTTAAGTGTTTGCGATAAGAAGTTTTGATATCAGGCGAAACATAATTAATTTCAAAGAAAATGCACATCTGGTCACAATTGTGATTGGCGGTTTTATTTTAAAGTCCTGGAGAAGATTTTTTTAGATCTAGTGGAAATGGTGTTTCATTAAATCCTGGAATCAACGAGGCTGGTTCGCGACGGTAGGAAAGCGTGTATGTTTCTTTAAAAGCAAGCATCGTGAGGTCTTCTGTTAAAGTTCTGTTGTTATTAAAAGTTAGTTTTACACAGCAACATGTACCTATCATGATGAAACCTTTGCTCCCGTGCTTAGATATTCATTTTTAGACCGTTAATAGGCTATAAAGGTATTATACAGTGCGAGTGTAAATTCTGGAATTATCACAATAAATCTCTTAGTAATAAATTGTCACTTCAGGATTGTCTTTTGTTTTTGAGATATGACGTAAGCGATATTTTTTGTGTTTTGTCATTCATTTAAGGCACTAAAGTGCAAATTTGTTTAGTTTTAAACGATCATTTCTACTCCGTAGTTTTAAACTGGATTCTTTAAATCAAACTGACATTTATCATTATACGGTCACAATTTGACAATACAAATTACAAGGTATATTGATCCTACAATCAAACAAATTTTTCTTTCAAATTTGCACTTTAATTAACATTGAAATTGCTGTAGCTGATTACCAAAGTACAAAAAATAGCGTATATACCACAGGACTAAAGTGCGTCCTAATCCCTCGGGTGCTTGTTGCCCCCAACTACGTTTCAGGCAACAATCTGCACCCTCGGGATTAGGACGCACACTTTAGTCCCTTGGTATATAGTATAATGCTATTAAATGGAAACCTAATTTTTTATGCTGAATTTTTCCTCCCGCCCGCACCTGTCACTTTTCCGGTCGCGCCTGTCACATTGCTAAATGTCTATAATGACTCCTGTCATTACTGACAGATTGACATTAATCAAAAGTTCTATATGAAAATTGAAATTGTGTATTAAAATACGATTTCGAGTAAAATGTAATACAAAACTCGTCAATAAAATGACACAATTTGACCCGGAAATTAAAGTATTCGAGTCCAAAGGGGGCTCGTACTTCAATATTTCCTCGCCAGTAATGTGTCATTTTCCTGACTATAATAACTACTTCCCAAAATTCTCTTTTTAAAGTCACAGGAGGCAAGGAAAGTGTTACTGCCCTGTCATGGAACAAAAATTTTATACTATATAAAGTATAGACTTGAAAATTAAGGTTTCGTGACGATTTGGGGAAAAATTAAGATCTAATGCATCAAGACAGCCAGTGGTGTAAAAATGTGCCAGAACCCAGAACGCCCATCTTACAGTGGCGGATTCAGTAGGGGGCAAGTGCCTCCTACGAAAAGCCAAAAAGGCTTGGCGAAAAGTCAAAAATCACTTTTTAATTGTTATAAACAACTTAATTTACAGTATTTCCATTACATTCTCTCCTTTCTATCTTTCTAAAAATCTTTCTAAAAATGTTCTCCGTAACCGTAATTGGGGAATGGAGCCCCTCCTGAAAAGATTCTCTGGATCCGCCACTGCCAACTTATCTATATACGGAGGAAATAAATAGTCCTAGAACAGACAATTGTCTCGGTTAATTATGAAGAATTTTTTTAAATAATTGCGTCCGTTAACAATTAAATATACAGGGTGTCGCATTTAAAAACAAAAAGTTAAAGCATTTCCAACTAAACCAGAAGTTGAAAAAAGAAGACATTATGATTATTAAATGCATTAATATTTGTTACTTACTTAAGCATATCAATTATTAAAAAATGGCTTCATAAATAATAGAGATAATAAAATTGACTGTTCTGAGGCTGTTACCCTATATATAAATGAACATTATATATAATTAATAATTAACAAAAATTTCAAATGATGGTTTGTCTTCATAACTTGCAGGGTTGCCGGGACACCATTCTTCCGTGAACCAAAATTGTGTAAAAATATACCACATTAAAAAATGTACCCAATACACCTTGTTTATAATTTTGACCAAAAAAAATGGTTGTTTTTTTTGATAGTTTTTTATTGCTATTATATTTAATTTTTTTAATGTCATACCATCAATAATATCCCATTAAATTTTTTTTTACGCACAAAATAAAAATAAGGCAACATAAAAATAGTGTAATAAAAAAAATAAATTGTTAATATCAATCAAATTAAACAAAACAAGAAAAGGTTTTCGCCCTATGGCAAGTAACTTATGAAGCATTTCATGCATTGATCAGTATTTCGCAAAAGGTGTGCATGTTTTTCTTTACTAGAAGCATCTATGGTTAAACTTACAAGAAATATCCATAAATAAGAAAGTTAGCATTGCGCAATCTCCGCATGCGCACAACTGATTTTACTATGGGCGATATGTTTGTCTTTACTAGAAGCATCTGTGGTTAAAATGTCACACCTGCGGCTTAAAATAAAGGATGTTAGCATTTACTAGAAGACTTGGTTAAAATTTCAAAAAATATCTATAAATAAGGAAGTTGTGCGCAGTTTGCACATGTGCAAATTATTTGTCAAGATTTTTCTCGGTGCAGGTGCCAGCGAGCTACATACATATAAGCTACCAAAGAAAAAAAGAACAAACTAACTGTAGGAGTAGTTAGGTTCTCGGGCGAACGGAAAAAAGTGGCCATCGAGGTGGCCATAATAGAGCCTTCCAACATGAGATGGAAAATGCATTAAAAAGTTTGTATAAGTAGTTGTAAGTAAAATAAATAAGATCTTTATATGCGCAGGAAACAAGAACACAAGCCTAAAAATGAGTTTTGTTAATTGCAATTGAAATGTAAGTATGTAGGTATATTTTCATTTTATTTCTATTACCTACCTTTCATTCTTTTTTCCTATTATATTTTTCATCTCTTTGCAGCTTTTAATAATTCTCAGCCCTTTCTTAGGTTGGGCAAATATTTTCGAAAATTCTACACGGGGTAGTTGAAATTTAATCGAACCTGTAATTCAGCTTCCTATCGAGGAATTTTTACCAGAACACTGTCCCAGTTGCAAAAAAAAGCACCAAACGTTGTGCCACTCCGTTCCGACCCCAATACACCAGTTACTGAAGCACCCGTGACATCAAATCAACATCCCCAATTTGCAATAGTTTGATGGGTATAAAAGTCTGTCATAATAAGCCAGTACAACCCCATTTTTATTTTTTATTTACTGGTCACACAACGTAACTAAAGAGTGGCCTATATAAAACCGACCCGAGGCAAATCCGTACTTTTGCCTGTGTATCATGCCATGTTCAGTAGAACGTCATACTGGTTTCATATGGCCTACTGTGTTCGGCTTTTTGAAGAGTTTTGTTGTTTGTTTCCTTTCTCATTTTCGGCACAACCTTTAGCGAGAGCACTGCTAAATGAATCTACTTCCATTGTGCCGAACTAAGTTATCCAAGTACCGAAAAAGAACACGTTAGCAAACCTTTTCCTCTTTAAGGAAAGAATTTAACTAATTCAAAATTTCAAGTTACCCTTTTTAAGTTGTTTCGCCCCCAACAATTCAGGAAATTAGTGGCGTCATCTCTTACACATAAAATCAACTACCTAAACTACAATAAAAGAAGGGAATTAATTACCTTACGTCCTAAATACAATTTGATCTTTGTAGACATATCACTGATGATTATTTTTGTGTACTTAAAATTTTGTTACAAACATGAATGATGTAAAATTGAGGTTAGCTTCTCACTGAAACATGTTAACTGTCAGTTTGGCGGAAATTTCGAAAAACAACGTCGGGGAGGGTGCGTGCGTAATAGAAGTGCGTGCTAATCGCTCACGGCATGTTTTTTAATCGAGTAAAATGCATTTCATTGCCTATTTCCTAATTAATGAGGGATTTAAAATTTCTCGCATTCGGCGCGGTTCGATCGCGTTCGCACGCGCAGGGCTGTACTCGGGCGACCCGCTCTTGCAGTTCCAAGTCAGTCTTTAAAGTGAAATGGATAAGTTCGTCCCTGCACCGCAGCTGGTTTGGTTAGGAATAGGAAATAAAATTGTAGTGTAGGCAGTCGTGGAAGGATCGAAGAGTGTGTGGTCGAGTCGTCAGCTGTGCAATACGTGACGTTTTTTTTTTCATTTCAAATCGTCCAGGATTTGTTTCCAGTGTAGTGTATCAAGTGAATTTCAGTGATTACTTTCAAAATGACGAGTCGTATGGCAGGACAAACTATCAACGACCGGTTTCTAGCAGCTAAACATAGCATAGCCGGTCAAGGATTAGCGAAATCTGTTTGTAAGGCCACAACCGAAGAAATGATCGGACCAAAAAAGAAACACTTAGATTGTGAGTATCACTTTCAATTTCGAATTGCGTAATTAGATCAGAGCAGGTTTTGAGGATTCCAGTTTTTTTTTGTTACTCGAAACGCTCTTATGATGGTCATTTCACATTGACCTTAAATGAAGTTATTTACTCCTATTAAACTCCTCTTGTCTCTTGTGTTGTAATGTTAGTCACGTCGTCTTGAGCGTGTATCAATTGTTTTCTGGGTACATTGATTGGAAGGGTACTTCGACTTAATTAAAACACCACCTCTAACCAAATTTTGTAATCATCAGAAAGTGTTTACGCGTCAAATTACCGCAATCATTTACCTACGTTATCTAATTTGGTTAATTACTCTCTTAATGTTGTTCAAATACCATTTTTGTTTTACATTAGTTGGTATTGATCGGCATTTCGTATTCAGATAATGACTTTGAGTACGTATTGTATGTTCCCATCATTAAGTAGATACCCACAAATACGATAAGGTGGTTTGAATCAGAAAAAGTGTTTTTAAAGTTATTAACCTACATGGCACGATGCCGTACCTCTCTCATTAAGTACGTCATTGTCTGAGTACTTAATTTAATTTTTAATTTAATAATCTACGTTGGTATTTTATCTCTATCTTATCGATTATTTTTGTTGCCATTTAAATTTACAAAACGAAAGACGTGTTGGGGCCCCGTTGTACTGAACTGCACTGATTGAACCGAGGATTGAACTATCTGGGGATTCCTCCTCGACTTCGAGTCACAAGGAAATTGATAACTGTACCAAGTATGAAAGTGTTGCAAATGCAACCTTATCAAAGATAATTTTTCAAATTGAAAACTCGAGTGAAAAATGTGAAAATCCCCATATCTTAAGTCATTTTTAGATATGATTTCTGTACTGCAAACCGAGCTGCAAACCTTGAATTAGTTTGCAGGGTCATTGTCTGGAGCTTTGTTTTGGAAAATGACCAAAACTACGAAAGTTGAGAGCCAGTGTTGCCAGTTGGTTTTTTTTTGCGTCATCGATACATCCTATAGTTTCTTGATAATACAAAAAACAAAATGGCAACAAGATAGTCTTCAGTTCTATACGAAAGGTAAGGTTTGAAGACCTTCAAATTTCAAAATTGCACGGAGTCGATCTTACAGTTGAATTCTACTGAAAGTTAATTTCCATCGAGATTTCCATAGAAGACATGTATCGATATTGGAGGTTATCTGTGAGGTAAATTTAACTAAAAAAACCTCGTAAAAAACTTCATAAAATGAATAACTGAACAATTTCACATCAAGTGTAGTTTTAAAATCGGCGGAAACGTGGGTATTTAATGCACTCGTTTGCAATCCTAGGTGGCCTTTCAGTTCCCGAACTCTGTATTTGCCAGCAACAAAACAAAACACTACTGGATGCTAAACTTGGCAACGGCAGTAAAATAGCAGGGATTAGTCCCTTTGAAAATGTGATGTACCAACTTTCAAAAATGGAAATATTTTGGAATTGTTTAGGAAATGCCTCGGGAAATGCTCAGGAACGGAGGTAAGGTAAAGGTTATGCTTATTGGTACTTCGTGCAAGTATGAATTGAAGAATGAAAACAAAATGTGCACCAGAGTTCAGTTGTTTTGGTCGATAGAATATGGGAAACATCTAATGACTTTTAATTGTTACCTACCTGTCAACTCGCCTGTCAAATAAGTTACCTACCTATATTGGTTCGGATTTGAATTACGCCATATATTTATATACAGCGTGAAGTTCCGGAACGTTCGATAATCTCCGTGATTTATGAAGCAATTTTTTAAAAATTGGTGTTCATATAACAAATAATACCCTAAGGTATTTACCTAGTAATCGTAATATCTTATTTTTTTTATTTCCGGTTCAGCCGAAAATGACCTTAACTTTTTCGTTTTAAATGCACCACCCTGTATTATTATCGGGCGCAGAATCAAACATAAGAACATAAGAAATTTACCTATATCCGGTTTTTGTTTTATTTGAACAGTTATAAAAAATTAAAATAAAATTTTATTATGTAATTACACAAATCAACAAAACAACTGAGCCAGTAGTATATTTCTGCCATTCGATGGATCACGATTTCTTTTATAGCTCCCTAAGTAAAAAGTAACCTGGACTGATGGCAGGCCATCGTATAGGTCCATGATTTATTTACAAATAATACTTATATTTAAGGTGTTCATTATGTAGCGAATTTTCGAGAGCGATATCAAAGCGCCATCAAGTCAATAAAGGATAAGTCGCCGGTGATAAGGAATGCAAGCGGATATGACATGTTCTTTCCGGGAAATATAAAATACTGATTTCTAATGTCTAATATCGATGCCGAAATGAAAAATAGTGAAATACGCGCGGTAATTAATAGATAGATAGAAGGAATTCTAATTATCAAACTGGATGTTGTACCGCATGATATTGTAAATTGAGGGATCAATAGTTTTGAAATAAAGTTATAATTTCATTACAAGATGGTGTTTAAAACTGGATTCGCAGTAGAAAATACAACATTTAAACTCTTCCGAAAAATGGTGTTTTTTTAAATATCAATTTAATACATCACATTTAAAATTTTTTGCGAGATGTTGGTGAACATTTGACCTATAATCATAATGAGCACATTTAAAATCTTTAGAAATGAGTTACGAGTTACGAGATGTCGTTTAAGTTTCTTTTTAGTATTTGTTGCAAAATCACAAATGTCACATTTAAAATCCTGCGCAGTGCTGTGTATTAAGAGTTGTTGTTTCAAACTTGCCTGAAACTTTGTTGCAAAATCACAATGATCACATTTAAAGCCTTTAGAAATGTTGTGTGTTATGAGATGATATTTGAGCTCGTATTTGAGTTTCTGTTGATCACAAATAGCACATTTAAAAATCTTTCCAAACATTGTGTATTACAAAATGTTGTCGCAAAATATTTTTATTTTTTAAAGTTCGGGGCATACTCATAATGGACACATTTAAAATATTTAGAAATGTGTACTTATTACAAAATGTTCTGGCAAACTATTTTTATGTTCGAGGGATAATTACAATGGGCACATTTAAAATCTTTAGAAATGTTGTGCGCTTCTATGCCTCTTAGCTCCGCCGAATTCAGTCTCTTGTCATTCTTTCTGCATTCTATGACTATAAATATATACGCCGATGGTAGGTTATTTGAGACGGCTTTGTCGAATCCTTCCTCTGAAGCCATGTCTCATCGTTTTTAATAGTGACACAATATACTAACTACACAATGAAAAATCCTCAGAAACATCTCGGTAACCGCCATCCGCTGCACGTATACCAATGGCAATTACGCTGTAATATGTAAACAAATATGGCGGCGTAAAACGAGTCACAACCAATGATATACCGTTTCAGCCCGTTTCAGCCCTACTTTAAAATGGTCTATTCCCTTGCAATTATTAGGTAATTAAAATTGTTATTATATTAGGGCAAACATTTGTTACTCCCGAGGTTATTCCTTTACATTTGTCAACAAAAAGAAACAGAAAATGGTCATATAACTGTATATTGAAATTAACTCAAAGTTCAAATTCGTACAAACAAATATGTATAAATATAAATATGTATAATGCTAGAAACTTTTAAATGAATTAACTCGTTAATTAAGTTGAAATGGTCATCTCATTCTGCATTCCAAATACCCTAAATTCTCACATTTGAACACCGTCCAAGATAAGGATGTCTACTCGGATATCTATCATGGGGATCTCCGAAACCATAGAAGATACGACAATGGTGAAACTAGAGAAACTATGCGCAACTAAAGATATTATCATGTAAAGAAAACTAGAAAATTCAGTTTACTTCCGAACGAGCTTCCGAAGATATACCAGAAAAACCGAAATTTGCCGATTTCGTTTTTATTTTTTCTGATGTTATTTGAACAGCTACAAAAAAATAAAGAACACTTTCTTATTGCCACTCTTTGAGCCCTAGAAAGAATACCTACCTGGACAAATTTCTTGGAAAAAATGAAAGATATGTTCTATAGGTATTCTTGCAGGATTAGGGCGTTGTGCGCGAGTACACCATCCTGTTGAAACCAACAGTTTCCAACTTTTTGTTTTTTTGTGTGCCATATATCGTTGCATTTGTAAAAAAGAACATACTCAATACAGTATATGCATTTTTTTTATAAAAAAATAAAGTTGAACGTTGAAATTCTTAACGGTGTCTTGTAGAGCTCAAAAAGTGGCAATCAGAAGGTGTTTTTTTTTAAATTTTTTTTTATATCTGTTCAAAAAAACATCAGAAAAAAATAAAAACGAATCTCGAACACAGTGTATATGTATAACCTTACTCTATGGTATAACCAAGCACCAAACATAATCAGAGCACAAACTCTTTTTGTATCTACTACCCCGAATCTATACAACTAAAACATGCGCGCTTTATCAAAGGCACTTTATATCATTTTGACACTCCCACAGTCACACTAAACACGAATATAACCGAGAATACACCCCAATCCTAGAAGCGTACTTCTAGGAACTAAGCGGTCCTCCCAATGTGATTTATGGTACCTACTGATCAGTGCTCAGTCCGGCCCGAGGTCCGGCCAGTGTAATACCAGGTCCTCGCATATAACGTTTTCCCAGGTCTTGTTGAAAATTCTTGTTTTTTCAAATTTTACAAATATTCACATGCCCATTGTCTAATTTCTAACAAATAATTACTTACATAAATTAATTCAATTAAATCCGCAAATCAATTTAATTTATATTTGTTGATCCCGCGGTTTAAATCGGAAATAAAATCCAAGCTGGCGGGAAAAAGTGCCCCTTCAGTTTAGTTGACCGCGATTGACCCTACGAATTACTCCGCGAATGAAAAAGAGTGGAGGGGTAAAGTGGTAGTGTTCTATTCTCATGTATAAAAAGGTCCCTTTTTCTAATAAAATGTAGTTAAAACGATTTCAAAAATCCAATCAGAAAATCAAATCATATTAAAAAATTAGAGTAATAAACGGATACAACGGAAAATCGAA